AATTAGTCCAAACGTATTAAACGAAGTTGACGCGTTTTTTGCCTCTCTTTTTTCAAGTTAAAATTTCACCCTTATTTAGGATGTGGATTAAAATGTAATTAATGGTAAGAAAACTAAGTTAGGTGGAAACTATTTTTCTTTTCTTCTCCGAGGTATGAGTTTTTGGTCAGAGATAAGCATCTAAACTAGTTGAATTAGGCTAAAGTTGGTTTCTAATAGATGAGTTTGGACCAACCAATCTTTTATCGTTTCATTTCAGATCTAAAAATGAAGGAAAGTTGTAACAAAGGGTGATCAAGAAGTTGAGTGGTAGTAAAGATGATTGTAAGTCGTGACATAGGTAGTTGCAGTAGACGCTACGAGATTTGATAAGAGAGAAGGAGAGAGCGATGCCAATAAATGTCATCGGAGAGGGAGGAGTAACAGAAAGAAAGAGGAAGAAGATTGTCAAGTGATATGTCCAATTACAAAATTAAAAAAAATATATATATAAAATGAATATAATTGAGACCTCAATCAACAAATAACTACAATGTTAAATCATTTGGAATTATTTTCAAAATTGGAGACTAAAATCGTTTCTTTTAAAACTTTAGTAGCTAAATAAACACTAAGCTCAAATTTCAAGAACCAAAACTGTATTTGTCATTTTATGTTAATCTTATTTTTTCTAATCGTAATTTTAATATCACAACGTTACATTCAAATAAATTTCTTGAATTGTAGTCACAACTTCGTATTAAATAATTTTCTTTCTATATAAAACTAAAATTTTGCAGATTTTAAAAGTAGACCAAACACCACAAATAAAATTTCAGTAAAATCAAACGTAACCTTAGTTGACATATATCTCCACTCAAACAATTCTTAATTCGACCCCGGTTTCACGGGCTTACCAAAAACAAATAAAATTTAAAAGTAGTGAAATTAAAATATGGGAAGGAGGGCGTGCAAAGCATGGCGTGCAACCGCACTGCTTAATGCGATGCGACGGGCTACGGGCACGAGCGGTAGGTAGGTAGCGCCAAATATGGAGGGGCTACCGGTTACGGTCTTTTCCCTTTGGTAATAATGAATAATAATAATGATGATCAATTTAAGTGGGCCCTCCCTTATTTTCTTTTCGCAAACGACATATTATGAATTATTAATTAATTGACGAGGAATTCATCTCACGGACTCATTTTATTTAAATGTAGTTTTTAACAATATACTATAAATTACAAGAATTAATTTTTAAATAAACAATTAAGAGTATGGTTGAAACTAGTTAGTAAAGAGGGAGATTCATTACTCACTACTTCAATTATGTTAAATATGTAAATGAAACTGTATTTTAAATGTTTTAAAATAAGATAAAAACAAGACAGTGTGTTGGGACCAATTAAACTATCTATTAAAATTTTTCAATTTTTCATTCACACTATTTCATTAAATTAAAAAGTCACTAATATACTTCAAGATAACGGTACATTAACCTCACTTTATAATTAATGTAATGTTTTGACAGAAAAATAGAGGAAAAAAAACTTTTTTTTTTGGAATATCTTTGTTTTTATATTTTTGGGGTTTGAACAGGTTTGTCCTTCAAAAGTTGGAAAGTCATTTTCCTAATGGAAAAAGAGAAAAAAGGAAAAAGAAAAAAGAAAGAAAAACTGGGTGTGGGGTAAAATGAAATTAAATGGGAAAAGAGGGACTGAAAATTCAATTCAATCTTCAAAGTTCAAACTTTTAGCCCTCACCAGTCACCACCTTCCCTCTCTCCCTCTCTCTCTCTCTCTCTCTCTCTCTCTCTCTCTCCGTTTCTCACTCTAGAAAACGCGGAAACCTTGCATTTGTGTTTTGTAAATTTGTATTTCCATTTTTCCACACCCGTTCTCACAGATATGCTCTGCTTCCTCCGACACCAGTATCTGGTATGCCAATAAAACACAACCAAACCCCATGTTTTTTAAATTAAAAAAGTTCACTTTTTTTTTTCTCTCTTTTGATGAATTCTTGGATCAATTGGTCCACGTGGTTGTTTAAGTTTTTGTGCTCTTCACATTGTCGCCATAATTCGTTGACAAGACAACCCCATCAAAGAAATTCAAAGAAGAGGGGAAAAAAAAAGGAAAAAGAGGGGAGCTTTTTTTCTTCTTGTAGTTCATTTCGTTCCATTATAAAAGCTCGATCTTCCTCCTTCCCCTCCACCAAAATTCGTCTGTATTTGAAAAGGGTGTGTCCTGTGCTGTGCTGTGCTGCCTTTTTTTCTCTTTAGCTTTCTGCCATTTTCAGAGACAATTAGCTGGTAGCGGAAGGGCTTTAATGGAGGGGGCAATGAAGAAGACCATGAGCAATGGCAGTGTTCATATGGAGAGGGAGGAGATTGATAACAAGTTTGAGGAAGCCTATGGGGAACATAATGCCACGGAAGATCAGCTCATTACCCCTTGGACTGTCTCTGTTGCTAGGTAAGATTAAGAAAAGAAAAAAAAAACATGTTTTGCCTTTTTTTGGTCTGTCTTTGCGTTTGTTCTTACTGAAACTACTCTGCATTTGGGCTATCTGAATGAGTGATTCTCTGTTTTGTTGTTGTAGTGGTTACTCGTTACTGCGTGATCCGATCTACAACAAAGGCCTTGCATTTTCTGAGAAGGAGAGAGATGCTCATTACTTGCGTGGCTTGCTGCCTCCAGCAATCCTTGATCAGGAGCTTCAGGTTAGCCCAGATCTCGACAAATTATTTGAGGGGCTGGAACAATGTTGCTGATGATAAGTTCGATGTGTACAAGAGAAAAATTAAAAACTGTATTTCGAACTTGCATCCAACGGTTACTAAGGACTAATAGAATAGATTTTGAATCTGCATCGAATGGTTATTAGGAATCAACCACGTCTGGTCGACTAATGGCTCTCTCTCCCCCCTGTTTTTTCTTCTTTTGGCTTGCAGGAAAGGAGGATGATGCACAATCTTCGCCAATATGATGTTCCATTACACAGATATATTGCCATGATGGATCTTCAGGTTTATATTTTCTTTACTCATTTGTTATTAGTTCCTAACCATCATTAGCCTGCACAAAAACAAAGACAGTAAATCTTAGACACAAATTGATGTTTGTAATTTGGAGCTTAGTTCAACTTGGGCATGCCAAAGCTTTCCCATTGTTTCTGATATCATCTGTGATCTTGCAGGAGAGAAATGAGAGGCTGTTCTACAAGCTTCTCATTGATAATGTTGAAGAACTGCTTCCAGTTGTGTACACTCCCACAGTTGGTGAAGCCTGCCAGAAGTATGGAAGCATTTACAGGCGACCTCAGGGCCTTTTCATCAGTTTGAAAGAGAAGTATGCCATTAGAAAAGCACTTATTATGTTTATTAGTTGCATTGGTTCAGAACTGATAATCAATCATTTTCCTCTTCAGGGGAAAGATTCTTGAAGTACTGAAGAACTGGCCAGAAAGGAACATTCAAGTTATCGTTGTGACCGACGGCGAGCGGATTCTCGGTCTCGGGGATCTCGGATGCCAGGTATAAAACTTACTGCTTCCATTCACCTGATGAACCTTAATTCACTTAGCTTCTATCTTTTAGTTTACTGTTTACATATTCTCAATTTGTTAAGATGGCATCTTTCAGGGCATGGGGATTCCTGTGGGAAAGCTTTCTTTGTATACCGCTCTTGGAGGAATTCGGCCCTCAGCTGTATGAATCTCTGCTCTCTTTGTTTATTATCAGTCATTACAGAACACTAATCTCAATTTAGCAAAATGTTTATACCTGGATTACTCAGCTTTGTTTTCAAGTACTAAATGTAAGTAAGGAATGTTGTTGAACTTTGTAGTTATATATTGTATGCAGTGCTTGCCTATTACTATCGATGTCGGTACGAACAACGAGCAGCTTTTGAATGACGAGTTCTACATTGGCCTTCGACATAAACGAGCCAGAGGACAGGTGAAACAATCTTTCATTCTTTTACTTGTGCTTTTATTCTCGTGCCTCCTCGATCTCAATCTGCTCATATATGATCGTTTTACTTAGTTTTGTGTGTGTTTTCCTTCATTCAGGAATACATGGAGCTTTTAGATGAGTTCATGTATGCAGTAAAGAAGAACTATGGAGAGAAAGTTCTAATACAGGTCATTTGGGCAATTTCAACTTACTCTAGTACTCTGCCTGGAGTTTTTCAATTTGTATATGTGATTCAATGTGTCACTAAGCATTTCTTACTTATTTAACAGTTTGAAGATTTTGCAAACCACAATGCGTTCGAGTTGCTTTCGAGATATAGTTCGTCGCACCTTGTGTTTAATGACGACATTCAGGTATGAAATATACACACCTCTTTCAGTTAACTGTGAATTTTTATAAGTTTCCCGAAGTTGTTCTATAACATGGATCTTCTCATTATATCATTTAGGGTACGGCATCTGTCGTCGTAGCAGGACTACTTGCAGCTCTTAAACTTATTGGAGGAACCTTAACTGACCACACTTTCCTGTTCCTGGGAGCTGGAGAGGTGAGTCAAAAATCATAGTTATAATCAAAGTTTTCTTTAACCGTGTTCGTATTCTTCGGCACACATAACCTCGATGTATCATTTGTTTATATGTGTCGTTAGAGATTGAATAGCCATGATTTTACTTGAACTTCCCTCCATTGTGCTGTGGAAATGGAATGGTGTATTGTTTCTTATTGGTGTCATTTGTCTGTTGTAGGCTGGAACTGGTATAGCTGAGCTTATTGCTTTGGAGATTTCAAAACAGGTACAAATATACTTCTATCTCTAATCTTCTTTGAATCAAATGAATTCATGGCTTATGATTTTGTTTTCTTTGGCAGACAAAAGCTCCAGTTGAAGAGACTCGCAGGAAGATTTGGCTTGTGGACTCAAAGGTTGCTTGGACTGACTTCATTTCAATATTGTGCCTTTGCACCTCAATGTTATTTCCTGTACTAAAAGAATTATAACCATCATTACAGGGGTTGATCGTTCGATCCCGCTTCGAATCCCTTCAACACTTCAAGAAGCCTTGGGCTCATGACCATGAATCCATCAAGGATCTCTTGGGTGCCGTCCAGGTCTGTAATTGACTTACGTTACTACTCACCCCTCGAAGTATATTGGATCGTTTTCTAAACCAATCTTAATCATACAGGCCATCAAGCCAACAGTGTTGATAGGAACATCTGGTGTTGGAAAGACATTCACAAAGGAGGTTGTGGAGGCCATGGAATCCCTCAATGAGGTTCACCCCTATTCCCTCCAACTTCTTCCCCCTCCCCCGACAAAAGAAATTATCTAAGGTTAACCCGAGTTTCGGTTACTATGCAGAAACCACTTATCCTTGCTCTCTCGAACCCGACATCACAATCGGAGTGTACAGCCGAAGAAGCTTACACATGGAGCAAGGTACAAACTATGCTCCTATCTCTTCAAGTCTTTCAAAACCTCAAGCATCACTTAGGTTTGGAGCTTAGTTCTAAAACTTATCCTTTCAAATGTGCAGGGCCGGGCGATCTATGCCAGTGGAAGTCCATTTGACCCTGTTGAATATGATGGGAAAGTTTTTGTGCCTGGGCAGGTACCCTTCATACTTCAAAAAACCTTGCTTTAACAAGATGGTATTGGTATATGATCTTCTGTGCTAACTTCTCCTAATGTAATTCAGGCCAACAATGCTTACATATTCCCTGGATTCGGCTTGGGTCTGATCATGTCTGGTACGATTCGTGTGCACGATGACATGCTCTTGGCAGCCTGTAAGTGAAAATTTTAGCTTCCCTCCTATGTATCTTGAGTATTAGTTACTGGTATGAAGGTCGACTTAACGGTTTTTCCCGTTTGCAGCGGAGGCTCTGGCTGCCGAAGTGAGTCAGGAAAACTATGACAAGGGACTGATTTACCCTCCTTTTACCAATATCAGAAAGATATCTGCTAACATTGCTGCTAAAGTTGCAGCTAAAGCTTATGAGCTTGGTAAGCTTCTCTCCCATTTTCTTCACAATGTGATTAATCATGATTTCCTGATAAACCAATGCCAGAAAACTTTACTAACAGTTGCATCATATACAATTATATTACAGGTTTGGCTTCTCGTCTTCCTCGACCCAAGGATCTCGTAAAATTTGCGGAGAGCTGCATGTACAGCCCGCGCTACCGTAACTACCTTTAAGCGAATTTTATAGTTTCAGTCTACAAAATTTTCCATCATTTTTTTGTTGTAATTTGTTGTTTCTAGTCCTGTCATTAGCATAGGACATGCCTTAAGAACTTATTACTTTTCTCTCTTAATGCTCCATTCCCAAAGTTGTTTATCTTAATATAATATTCTTTTGTTATTCAGATTGAATTATGTTTTAGGCTGTTACAATTCAATGGGATTATTTGTGCAAGTATTACTAATGAAATAAAGTCTCACCCCCACATTGCCTCGTCTCCCTTCTCAAAACACTTGTGGAAAAGTTTCCCTTCCTGGAATGTGTAAAAGTTAAAAATGCTGTATAAAATGTATCCTAGCAAAATACGTGTCCACATATCTTAGAAGGTTAATTCAATTAATAAAAATCAGTTGATTTGAAGTGCCTGCACTATAATTTCCAMTTCTCCACTCTCCACTCATAGTCTTGGCCGAAAAAAGAAAATAAAAAGTGCATTCGAGATCTCGACTAATCTCCTGAAATCACCACCTGATCCTACTACATTAGGTTGTTAACTTGTTAAATTCTAAGTTGGCAGCCATGATGATTTGAACTAAAAAAATTCAAGAAAATTCTTAAAGTAGGGTGAAGGTGTGCTTACAATCGAATTATTGTAGATCAATACTTCAAACCAAACAAATAACCATCATCTGCAAGTGCACGTTCCATCATCTTGGTCAGTAAGTATTTGAAAACAGTATCGGTCTCAATAATCATTCAAACCAATTAAAATCAAAATTTTGTTATCTAAGAATATTGGATGCTTAATCCAATTAATTCTCAAGTGGAATCGTACACATATAATATATTGTGTTCAACTCAAGAAAACACAATTAAAAAAAAGGAAGTCGCACTGCAAAACTTGACATATTTGATTACTGAAAGATGTTCGACCCAGCGGTTTCTCTTGCTCCCCTATAATAGAATATAGTTACAACAAACTGTTTATTACATGTCGCATATGAATATATAGTCTATCTAGACCTGAGGAAGTTACTTGCTCCGATGTGAACTCTTAGAGGCTGTTGCAACAGAAGCACTCACCTAAAGAAGTAAAGCATTAAAATACAAACATATGTATATTCTCTGGTGAGAAGTTCAGAAAAAGGAAACCAAAGTTGACATATTACCGTGTGGCATCAGCTAACTGGGAACTACGTATTCCCCAAAAAGATCTAGGTTTCAGATTCCTGTTTGTGGCAGTAAAAAGCCATCCTAATTGAGTTTCACAAGTGGCACAGATTGAGATTGTCCATGCATACCTAAAACAGCGGAAGTCAGAGTATCGCATTTACAGTATAAAATGGATGAAAGATTAAAAAAAAACATAAAATAATTAGTTTCATCTCTAACTACCCAATGTTCTGAATATCCATAAATATCAGAAGTTGTCTTTTCTCATAACTAGTCAATATTTGCACTAGTTTCTAATTCTCAAATTCATATATGGATTCCCACTAGAAATGCTGCCTTAATCCTACGTCTAGGTATGAAATCATGCTCCATCTGCCTATTCATAATTATCAAGCAATAACCTATTTGGGGTCAAAGGTTCCAGTTACCAACTGAAGTCTTAGGTCCAAGTCCCAAGAGAACATCTTAAACCACAGAATTATGAGTTGACAGCTGATAACTCTTCACGTTAACCTAGAAACCATTTTCCTACTAATGTAAAAATTAAAGGGGAACCATGATCGAGTGTACTTCATGCTTGAAGTTTAATGTAGTGCTAGAAACAAAATCAGCACAATAACGTTTCTACAATCAAACAACAAACAAGTTTTTTGTACAATCAAACAACAAAGGGAGTAAAAGACTACTCATAGGTTCAAAGGAAAGAAAAGTTAGGTCAATAGCATACCCAGGGAACCAACTGTATTCTGTAGCGGCTCGTCCTCTTAGTGCTATGCCATTTGCTCTGTTAAAAGTCGTTATTTCATGCACATAACCATGGGGGTTCACATAAGCACCGAGTGGACCATCACTAGACATTACCAACATATCACTGCGTTTGGCTATAACTGTCTGCATAAGAGGAAATGACATATAAAAACAATAGGCAGCTAAGTATGCCATGGAATAACTACACAGCGCAATTAAGCATAAGCTGAGGGCATGCAAGATGTCAAATTGACAGAGTGCAAGCATGCATACATAGAGACTATTGACTACCTTACAGTTTTTACATTGGATGATATCAATAGACTTAAGTAACTCGACTTCCCGGCGCAATCTATATGAAATGCCATCAATCTCCAAGAGCTCCTGTCTAGTAGATTCAGAAACTGGAATCTTACTAGCAATGTAGAATGATAAAATGTCTGGATTCTTCACAAAACCATCCATGTTTGGAACCCCCACAATCTGCTTCCACATAGCTGAAAATAGTGATGGTAAGGAATAAAAAAGAGACCAATACATGTGCCTCCAATTTTCTAGATATATTGCAAACAGAATGTTATGTCCCGAGATATGGCAAACAGCAAACAGGGGTTTTTATTTTTCAATCAATAAATCACACTGAAAAGTACAGAATCAAAACACTTTCGCCACCAAATGATAAGAAACGAGTGAAATGCACATATCTACATTGAAAACAGAAACAAAAAATGAAAAGGAAAGAAATGAAAGGCTGAGAGTGAAGGAGAACAACTCAGATCACCTGCTGCTTTTTGAGCAAGACAATACGAGTCATACATAGAGTAAACCCAATATGGCCAAAATGCTTTTGAAACCCCATGCATCGGATTAAAACTTGAGTTTCTTCGACATCTTTCAAGTTCTTTCCTTTTGCTAGATTCCCTAGCTGATGTGGAACTCTTTCCTGTATCAGGGGCAGGTTTTTCATTTTCCTTCTCATAGTCAGACTGCATTGACCCTAAAGAATCCGAGTCATTTAGATGTGACATTGCATGTTGGTGTTCAGACTCTGAGCCAGATATCTCCTCATCGCTACTAGACTCATTGGAATCGATTGCTGCTTGGTGGATTTTCCTCTCTCTCAATGAAAGCTCACGTTCAAAGCTTTCTTCTGAATTAGAGGCTGAATCAACCTCCTCATCCCTTGACGTAAATTGTCTAGAGCAAGAAGTATATGAAGCCAATGCACATGAGAGACTGTGGCGCTGGACACTGCTCCTTGGAGCCAATTCTCCGAAAGCATCCCGTGGAGTCCTTAATGGCAAATCTTCCTGGATAATTTGAACTTCTCCACATGGCTAAAAAGATTGCATTTTTATACCAAATTATACTTGCATCATAAAAACACTAAAATAATAAGTAAATAACGCAAATAATTCAAGAACAAAAATTTGCTCTAACCACTCCTTCAGCATCGATCCAACGGCGTCTAAGGCGAAATCTTTGCTTCCCTCTAGTAAGAACATTGATTGAACCATCCTCCAACCTTCGAAACTGCCGTATCTATAATAGAGAGAGTTGGTAGGAACATGGATGAATGTCATTAGAAACATGGTAGCATCCTTACATTAAAATTCGGATGGAAGCTAAACAACCCCAAATCATGGCAAGAGGCTGAACTCCAAAAACTAATTGCTTTTCGGATAATGCCAGAAAAGGAAAAGGCCAAGAGAATCAAAATCGAAAAAATACTACCTCTGCAGTCGTCCCAATATTTGCAAAATGTAGTTTCTCGTTGTCAGAATCCAAGGAGACGTGAACCTGAATAGAATATTAAATCTTGTTTGAGCTACCAATAAGGGATTTCAATGGAATCTTTAAAATTATGCGCATGATGCCTAAATTAGAGCACATACCACACCTATGGTATTAGGGGTGTCAAAATGAGTCAGTACTCTTTCAATGGCAGCAATAAAATTTGCTTGGATCACCCTGAGAGGCAGAGTAGCTTCCGGGAACAACACAACTCCTGAGAAATATGTGATTGTACATGACGTAATAATAATAGTGACAAAATGGAAAAAGGTATCCCGAAGAAGGTTACTATATGCCTGTTGACCAGTGTAATCATAAAAAAATTTACTTGTCCACTTAAAGTTGGAAAAATCAAGGGCTACTAGATTGAACTATTCTTCATCCGGTGGCAACTGGCAATTATGTCTGATGTGTGGGCCTGCAGGTCATCTAACCGCATCAAGCAAGAGGATGGCGATTAACAAACATGTTATTTCCTCACTCCCCATGGGTGGGGGTAAAGAGCTTGCTGCTTCAGACATTAACTAGACATGATAAACTATAACAGCTCTCTCCAAGCAAAAGGATACCTATACGATAATTGCAATTTTCTAATCCTATGTAATGAGCATTGAAATCTTAAACTAGTTTTAAACACCTTCGCCATTTGCAAAATCTACAAACATACATAACTTTCTATTAAATCATCATCACTTTTAACAGAACGAGATGTTATTCATGGTCCACATATTGAGTGAATTTTATGTGTCAATTCCATTGAAATAACAAATTGTCTGAGACGACAACATTGACAATAACAATTGACTTGAACAGAATTGCATGATTTGCAGAGTTTGATTCTCCAGACTAAGGATGTTTTTCAATGCCATTTCTAAAATACAAAAATCTGATTAGTAGATATCAAAAATTAAATAGGGATAGTTTGTAACTATCCTACTCCAGTTATGGCACTTAAACCCATGCAATCGATGCTAGAAGCAGGACGAAGAAGAATTAATAAACAAATACCTTCAAGATAAAATACAGGAAGGTTCAGTATGGCACCACCATCCAAGAAAGCCATTCTGTGATGAGAATCCTCAACCTCTGTTACACGTAGCCACAGGAGATATTAGTAAGACAGTACCCCAAATGGAATTGGCATGAATTCTCGAAATATTAATCAGCAAATAAAAACAGAATAGCAATTCCATACCACCAAGATACGTATGCAAAGAAGCCAAAGAGGAATTGAAAGTAAATTCAGCAAAGGTCTCAACACCTCCATGACCATGGCTGCTTTGATACAATAGGGAAAAACAGGAGGGTGTCAGTGCCTTGGATGAAAACCAAAATATCCCCCACAGTCCCACTCACAAAATAGTAATAACAATAAGAACGACAGCAGCAGCAAGAGGACTAGTATAGCAAACAAAATCAATAAAGCAATTCAATTCATTAATAAAGTCACCTTTTTGCTAACACGAGTGACTAGTATAGCAAACAAATTCAGTGACTAGTCATTTCAGATGGAGAAAAGGATATATAAAATCTAATAATCGTGCTAGGCCGTGTACAAGGACTTAATGACAGAAACTAATCGATACTCAAGTGCCCATTCTAAGTTTGCGTGGTATCTTCACAAAGAGTAGAAAGTGGACTGGTCTCAAATCTCTACTCCAATTCCAGATTTTCAAGAGTTTCGGCAATTGGAACAAACAAGAGAAAGTAAAGATAGCATGAACCACTGACTATCGGGAGCCATTTGCCAAGTGACTTGGTCATTAAGCCATTAGTGTATCCGACGATTCACTCCAACAACTTCTCTGCATGTAGTACTAATGCCAAAACATGCAAAAACCAAATCCATTTCGACATAATATGAGAAATGGAGAAATTGTTCGAGTCAACTAAAAGGTGCGCCATGTAGTGCACCGAAGCTAGCATCTTAACTTAAAAGTTAAATCCCAGAATTAATCCAATCTTTAAAGAAGTTCCCAACAGAGCAACCATTCTTCAAATTCTAATTCAGCGATTTAAGCACTATCATGTCACTATCAGTAATTCAGATGAATCCAATTCAGAGTACTGCAAAAACCCTACGCGAAAATGAAATGTGAAAACCCTAAAACCGGAGGGAGTAAACATTACATAGGGTCGCGATCATCGTCGGAGTCGGGGAGATAGTCAACTTCCTCAACTTGCAACTCCTCATTATCAAGCTGAAGAATCTGCTCGATCTGGTGCCTCTCCCTCTCCAAAACCCTCTCGTCCTCCATTGCTTAGGGCTCTTGTAATGGCGAAACTGAGATATTCATCGATCCACAGGAGCGTACCGCCACCATGCTGTGCTCACTGACACATATGGAGTTTGTTCAATCGATCAAATCTCGTAAAAATTTCTGCTCTCGGAAATGTGCTCGGATTTTGCCGCATCAGCAAATGGCGCCACTTCAGTAACATTTCTTTTTCTTTTTCTTCTTTCTTATAAAAGAAAATTAAATTTTTATGTTTTATTTAATTTTTAATATTAATTATGTAATTTATAAGTTGATAATTATAGAGTAATACTTTTATTTATATTATAATAAATAAATTTGATTGGATTGTTTCTAAAATTTACTGAAAATATTTGTTCGAAACAAAAAGAATACAACCAGACACGTGTATATATGTTCAAAAACGAAAAATGAGAAATGAGAATGTCACTAAATTATTCTTATTTCTAATTTATTTTTTTGTTTTTTCTAATAAATAAAATCACAGCTGAATTTTGTAACTATTTTATTGTTTTTTATTAAAAAATAATATAAATATATTTAGTAACTATTTTTTAGTTTATTTTTAACTAATATTTGAAATTAAAAAGGAGTAAACTGTTTCTGGAAGATTAACATTTAAAATTAAATATACAAAAATAGAGTGCTATCTAACGAGTCTAAGTGATAAAATAATACTCTTACGTGTGTTTTGAAAAAAAAAATTATAAATAAAAATAATAAACAATAAATTTGATTTTTTGTTTCTAAAATTTATATATAGTTTTAGAAAGGTTTATTAAAGATAAAAAACGAGACTACAAAATACTACAAAATTAGCTTTTTATGCGCGGATTCAATGCCACTAGGTTTTATATGAACAATCAAATTTGTGTTGAAAAAAAAGTCAAATGCCCCTTTTTATTTTATTTTTAGGAAAAATATGTTGCAAACAAAATTTACTTCGATAAGAAAAAACAATATTCAGTAAATTATTAGTTAAATTACAAATTTAGTCGGTTGTGTCACAAGCTTTCTGATTTAAGGTAATTCCATCGTGCTTTCTTTCTTTTTTTTTTTCCCCGCCCTAAAAGGAAAACAGAGTCGCCGGACCGGAAGGAGTCTGCCGATTCCGATTGCTCTGCCGAAACTTCAATAAGCTCTCGCTAAATACTCTATTTTCTAAGCGATGCGTTTCTGCATTTCCCTTCAATATCTTCGGAACTACATATCAGACTGGCATGTATGATTTGGATTCAAGCAGATAAGAAGTTACTCGGTTTTTCCATGCTATCATGGTGTTTCGGCAGCTCAATCTGCTCGAAGTGCAAGTAATTATCCCTTCTCTAAGACTGCTTATTGACTTAAAATTTAATTTGTAACTCTAGCTTTGAAGTATTGCTGGATGATAAGTGTTTCAATTGCTCGTGTGCGTATTTTACCTGATTTCGTGTTTCTAGTGATTTGGATTATTTGTTAAACTAAAATGTATAATTGAAGTGTTGAAATGTTAAATTTATTTGCATGGAGATAAGAAAACTACCGGCGGCGTTTCAAGTAAAAAACTTATAGAACATATCATCCGGTTGAGGTCAGTACATTTGGACCTCAATTAAAATTTCTCAAGCAGGCTAAGGCAAACTCCTAGCAAGAAGGAAAAAGAAAGAGTGAAAATTAGGAGCCAGACGTTTATAGGAATTATAGGGACAAGCGTCCTCTTGGGTTCTGACGCCCAAATTTCTTTCGTAATTATCAGTGTTCAATTACCGTGTTGGTGTCTCTATGAGTCTGCGTAATCCATCTTCTAGTAAGTAAAGATTTTGTTCATCACCTACTTGCGTATATCATTTTTTAAAGATAACCTTATGTAAATGATGAATCAAATGAAAAAGAACTACATTAATGTTATTGTTTGAATGATCAATTGAAGAGTGAGGACAACAACGTTCAAAAGTGTTGCTTCTCGTCCTCTGTCCTATCACTGGTGATGTTAAGAACTCCAAGAGGTTCAAATAATTTTCACTGTTCGAATTATGCAACTGGTTGAGCAACACATCTCAAGTTACATATTTTTCTGGTTACAATCACTATCTAACTATCTCCAAAAAGTTCTTTACGAACAAGGTTCCTTACATAATTATGCATGTTGTCTTACATTAATTCAATGATATGTATGTGCATGTTTAAATAGTCTCATGACTAACAGTTCTGATGATGCAGCCATATCATAGGCTGGTATCAAGTAGTTCATATTCATGACTAGTATTTATAAAATGGTTGATTAAATGTTGATGTCAGCTGTATTTTAAGGAAAACCTGAAAATTACGAATATCATATGAACTTTTGGAAACTAGTTAGATCAATTATAAACCTTTGGTATCAATTTGAGTAAAAAGTACATCTTTTCTAGTGCTTGTGTCTATAATTAGGATCCAATTCTGCACATTTATCCTAATATAAATTACTTTAACTGTTGATGTCATTAAATTCTATGAAATAGTATGGAAAATAATTTGAAAGAGATAAAATATAGATAACAAAGTGAGGCTTAGGTCCGTACCCCAAGTCCCCAACGGCTACCTTGTGTGGAAGGGGGAAGGGGAGAAGATATTTATGATTAAGATATGTTTTATTTATTATTAGAATATTGGATGTTTTTCCTATAGATATCAATGAATATCCAGTCAGTATCCACGGAAATGTTCGCGCCAGTAACATGTTATGATATTGTATTCTTGTGGATGGAAAGGTGGTTGACTGTATAAAAGAGAATCCATTTTCCATGTAGTGTTGTGGAGAATACAGAAATGTAGAGTCGTAGACTTATCATCGAGTATTGATAATATCATTGATATCGATGATATTTTACATAATGGTTGGTTCAATGGTCAAAATAGATAAGGTATTTATATAAAGTTATGTATTCAAGCCTTGACAGTCACCTATTTAGGATATGAATATGTTGTGAGCTTTTTTTGCCTTTAAATGTTGCAGAATCAAATTTCACTCATGAACTCAGTCAAGTTGCATACAAGCAACGTAAACACAACCATTATATATGAATAACCCTGTTATCATGATGCTGGTAATGATCCTAACATGATTATCTTCCCCTCTGAACTTGTGCTTATAACAAATGATGGCATTTCCGTTATCCATTTTCACTATTTTGGTTCTTTACAAATATATTATGTTTGATTCAGCGTATGTGGATGATATTTTGTCCGAAGGTGCTCCAGAAGTTGCAAAAATGTTGTGGATGCTACCCAATAATTTCTATGCTACTGGATTCTAGTGGGAAGAACAGAATAAATGCTTCAGGAATAATAAGGAATGATCAATATGATAACATAACCAAAGTCTACTTTTGGATGTTCTATCATCCCCCACAAGTTTTGGACTCTACCAGTGAGCATATACTTGATTGAGAAAGAAAACAAATTATTTTTGCTTCCATCTCTCCTCTTATGGTACAGTAAATTTTATGTGGTCCGTTCTTAGCATGGGATTTTATCGCCCTTATCTATTGATTTTGGTATATTTTTCAGATCAGGGCTTTTTTTAGTTCAGTATTCACACTTGAACAAAATTTTCTTTAGCACATTATATGATGTGTGGTATTGGTGAAAATAATTTGCATTTAACATGCTTAGAGTGGTTTGTTCTAGTGTGAACCCATATTACATTAGGGGCACAGCTGCAGAAGCTTTATGATTAATTATTGGCCTATGAGAAAACTTGGTCCCTTCCATCACTTTGCAGCTATAATACAAATGTGAATAATGTATGTGATTAGGCAGGGGACAATTACAAGGTGGGTTTGTGTATATTTATCTTTTGTATTTGTGTGTGTGGGTGGGTGGGGAGGGGGGGAACTGAAAAAGTAGCACCTTCTTTTCTTCAAATATAATTTGAGGTTTCAGATAGAATCTTCTCCCCTATTTTCTTCTCTTTTTATTCTACTCCTGTCACAACATGTATTTATTTATAAATAAGCACTGCACTACGTGTCGGGTTTATCATATCCATGCTGGGATTCTTATCAATTTTGGGAGACTGATAATGAAGAATATCAATCCCTTCGGTGAAGAAAGGAGGGGAACACATAAATTCATATTCTCAATCTCATTCGATGCACCCACAACTTTTGCAAAGGAGGAGGGGATGTGACCACAGATTTACAAAAATCGCTAACAGAGAACACAAGATGTCAACGGGGCAGCAAAAATCGACCGAGGGAGGCATGGAGGGGACCATGATCTGCCAGCCTGAGGTAATATTCTCTTTCAATCATTTGCCCTCCACGTAGCTTCTTCATTCATTATCTTCTGTTGTCTTTGCCTGCAAGTTTTGTTAACCAGAATTATCAAGAATCTATGAATTATTGTAACAATCAGTCTTTGGGAAAAGGGCATTTGTTGTACATATTTGATGAATTGACTATTTATATAGGAGCATTTTTCCAAGTTTTTAGTGGGGCTCTAAATCATGTTTTATGTTTAATGGATGGTGTCGTTTCAACTTGGGCTCCAACTCGGTTGAAGTTGATCTTAATATCTGCTTTTTCTTGATCTTCTGCACTAAATGGCATATTTGTCTTGTTCAGCCGAAAAGTTCTCATATACCTGCCAGAATGAGACGCCAATTTATGTTAATGTTTTAATTTAACATGCTTTTTCTATTCAAGATTGTGGTGGGGCAGCCCCATGAATAGTTACTGTCCTGAGGTTCCAGGAAATTTTTATTCACCGGATCACTTAAATTGCTTATTTTCACATTGGTTCGCCACTCATTATTGACTTTTACACTAAGCACTGCATCTATTAGTCCCAGAAAGGTGTCTATGAACGAGTGAGTGAATAAGCTCTCATGCTGTGGCTGCCCAAAATTGTAAACATAAATTTTGGTGCATTAGATGCTTCTTTTTTATTTTGACTAACCAAGTGATGTTTAATCATGACAAGATTCCTCGGCTCCTATTCCCACACAGAATTTGGACCATTAGCTCATTCAGTGTTGTTACGAATATAATAACAGATCAACAGGATGCTTTTAACTCTCTCCCTTTCTTTTGAATGCAGATCCATAGATCTATATGAAAATAGAGATGATTCCTTCGTTTTGGATCTTTCTGTTTTTGGTGAATTAACGATGTTCAGGGCCATTCCTTTAACATAGGATAACTATGAGTTTCTCAGGAAAAAAATCTGCTGAAGTTGTGTAACATTCACCCTAAAAGCACCTTCTTCCTAGTACTTATCATTTAGAATCTTTACTCACTTGGTTTCGTATTTCTTATTAGCATGGAATTTGCTTGACACGTAAGTTGCAACCCTTTATTTCTTTTCCTTCTTTTATCCATAGAGTTGGATTGTTCCTATATATGTTCTTTTCAATAAATTTATTGAATCATCACTTTTTTGGTTTCATTATGTTTTAAAGAGAATGAGAGCATAAATTGACAGCATATGGCATTTAAATTGCAATCTCAAAGATGGATAAACTCTTCTGCATCCTTCTACCATACACTTCTTCCACATGCTAGCCTATAAATACCTTTTGATTGACATATTGTTGTATCATTTAAAGAAGGCAAGATACTTACAATCTAGTTCTCATCTCATCTATCATTTATTTTCATCAAACCTGCTACTTTTTTTTGGTGAGAGATGGACTCAAGCCTTTTGCAACGTCAAGTTGCCTACACGAAGAGGTGCTTTTTTGAGCAGGTTTATTTTCAAAATACAGGAAATTCTTTCACTTTTCTTCCGTCTTTGACATGGTGCAGTTGGTACTTGTAACTCATACTTTTCATTAAGCATGTTTGAGAATCCATGGTTCATAGTTTCCAGTACAGTGCAGAATATATAACTACCAAACTTTGTGTCTAATTTGGAAGGGCAGGTTTAGCCTTATGGTGCATAAGCCAAATAGGAACTGGTTTCCTTCGGATAGGAGCCAAACTGAGCCATTGGTCCAAGAACGTATTCATATCCTTTATTTTGGGACGGACTAGATATGGTAATTGAACTTGTTCCTAATCGTGCTATGTCTTGGCCTTGTAAATCTTCCATTTGAGAGTGAAGTAGAGATTAAAACCACAAGCCTCCAAATATTTGGTTGAAGAATAATCTGTCATTTACTTTTTAAAGTTGTTTCTCCAGGTTCTGAGTTCTGGATTGCTGCATAGTTTTTACGGTGGGATGGGCTAACATGAAGTCAAAGGTCTCAGCTGGTCCTTGTTCAACTGGCTCACAGTTGTACTGGATGAATACACTTGTGCTCTACGTTTTGGACCAGCAAAAATTATCGGCAGACCAGGAATAAGACAAACTAAATTTATAAAATGCTAGCCAGTTGTTATGATTCTCGTGAATCTTAGCATTCACATCCATAAGGATATTCCTTCAGTTTTGAATCGTCTCTCTTTTTGAAATTTGTGGATCTTTATTTACTAATTTTTACTTCAAATGATTGACAAATATCCTACTATTAGGACATAAATGGTTGAACCAGACAGAATCCTTTGTTTCAGGGTTATCTTGATCGTGATCAATTCACTCAGCTTGAAGAATTGCAAGATGATGCTAACCCAAATTTTGCCGAAGAAATTGTGTCATTGTTTTATAATGATTCTGCTAGACTCATCCGGAGCATAGAACAAATTATGTGAGTATTGAGCCTTAACATTATCAAAATCATACCGGGAATCATTCATTAAAGCCACTGTTTTACTGGCTTGTACAGGGTCAGTAAGCCTACGGATTTTGAAAAGCTTGACAACTACGTGCACCAGTTCAAGGGTAGTAGCTCAAGGTAAACTACGATAATCATGTACAAGAAAAGCATGGGGGTGGTAGGGTGCATTACCAATTACCCTAACTTCAGATCTTTTAGAATATACTTGTAAGTGTCTAGGTCAGCTTGTACATACCTCGACTAATCTCACGGGACAACTATTGGATACCACTACATTTGGTTGTCTAAAAAACCCATAGGATATCAAATCCTTGGCAGATATTAAATCCTATGGTAGCCACTGTAATTTGAATCCATTTTTTCTAATTCATTTACTTCTTTCCGTTGGCCCTAATGATCACTAGGCCGACCCGTGGTAGTTCACCTGAATTTGAAATTAAGCACAAAATATTTGTACAAGAGCTCTAGGGATGAACAGATACGTGGTTTGGATTCACCACAAGTAAGGAACTATTTTATTATATGATGCCAGTCACTAGAACGAGCTCATCGTAACACTCGGAGCAATGGCACTTTATATGGTTGTTATGGAACATTGGTTCAATGACGACACCACTTCAACCTCATGTGAAAAGCTGAATCCACGATGTGTCATGTAGGTCTACTTCATAACAAAGAAATATGGTAGTTGTCATAGAAATAGCGTTCCTAACTCTTTAAGAACCTTGGCTTTAATCCACTTCAATTTGTTTCTAGTATTGGAGCCAATAGGGTGACTGATGCATGTTCAAAGTTCAGAGAATACTGCTTGGCAGAAAAACTTGAAGGGTAATAATCTATATTCTCAGTTCATACTCTGTTGACAAGCTACATTAACTTATAACATTTTTGTTTGTTCTATAGATGCATCAGGAGTTTCCAGCAAGTAAAACAAGAGCATGAAATTCTGAAGAAGAAGCTTGATACCTATTTCCAGGTTTTTCTTTTTTATTATCTCTCATTAATATTAGAAATTCTCTCTCTCTCTCTCTCTCTCTCATGTCTATGCGTTGGTTTCAATTTTTAGCTAGCTAGACAAGCTGGAAAGGCCGAGAATGAGGAATGTACCAAAGCTGGATAAGATTATGCGAATGAGAGGCTACAGCTTTCATTTTGTGTAATGCATATGCGGCCACATACACAATCTTTTCTGATGTAGATAAATGATAATTCTCTCTATAATTAAATCTCATGTTACTCTTTGCAAAATATATGTATCCAAATATTGTACCTTCTACGTGCATGGTTATGTTGATTATATCGAAATGAATGAAAAGGAAAAAAAGTCGACCTCCCCAATGGCTTAGATCAGATTTTCGATCCCAACTCTCGTAAGTTGTTGTCTTTGTGCATTAATTGCTCAAGTGTTTGTGACTTCATATTTCGCCTGTGTTCTGTAAGGAAGATTCTGTTGATGACCCTATTTCTACATCTTTCTCTTTGATATCAACTGAATTTCATTATCAAATACAGTTTCTACACCACTTTGGAATCAATTTCAATCCCACTATTACTTGAACAAAGCAAAATTTAAGAGTTGATGGATTAGTGAATGAGATCGAAGAATTGAGAAAATTCTAGATGGTAAAAGAGGGAGTTCAGATTCATGGAGCCAGGAAGATAAGATTCTAGTGGTTGGAGAAATTAGTTTGAAAGAACAGAAGGATTTGATTGAAATAAATCGATAAATTAAATCAAAGATGAAATTGAAAGTTCCAAAAGAATATGGGCAAAATTGAAAAGTATAAAAAATTAGGGACCAATATACATATAAATATAATTAAAAAGGACATTTTTAGAAATTTAAAAATAGAGAGAAACAAAACAGTCCAAAAAAAGAATTTGAACCATTCTCCCTTAAAAGGTAATAAAAGATAAAGATAATATACCCAGTCTACCAACTGCATTTCTACACCCATTCCTTTAAAACTTAGCCCCACCTGCAAATGCAAATCCAAATCCATAGGTTTCAAATAAAAGGTTCTTACAAAAAGATTTCCTTAACTAAAAACCAATCAAGATCAAAAGAATACACCACAAAGTGAGGGACAACATTGGAATGTTGTTTTCACATATGGTTTATTTTTAGAAATATTGAAGTTATTCTTCCTATAAAAGGTAGCAATTTGGGAATAATTACTCACATCCTCATTGATTTTTAAGATAAAAGGATAAAAATGGGACATCTTCAGCACTTTAGTCTAAAATAATAGCAAATCTAACACCGGTTAAAAAACTTTACAAATATGGCACATTTTTCAAAAATTTTCATCAACATATCTCAATCTCGAATGTTCTATCAGCAATAGATGTCTACAATCTCCAACCAAAATTAGGTTGGTGTTTTCAATGCAAGAGATTTTAATTCAAAACAACTCATTGGTAAAATATTCCAAAATGAAACAAATTTTAAACTAAGGATGCTTATTTAAAGTTTACCTATAAAAATATAAAGCCTCTTGTATTTATTAAATTTGTTCTTAGTCTAGTCTTCTAAGTTCTACCGAACTTGAAAATGAAATGAAGCAAATTAAAGCTATTCAATGCCTTTGAAATTTAAATACTAATTATCCAAAAGTATCCATGCCTATTTCCACTCATTTTCTACTTAAAATATTATATATTTTTTTTTCAAAGATTTCAATGTGCCTAATCTTCCATCAATTAATTAAATTATAATTTAAGTATAAAATGCTCTTCTAGGGTCTAAATCCTATACCATTTTGTTCCTTGTTGCACTTTAAATGAATCTTTGAAAATGTATGGGTACCAACTCCATTTAAGTGATGCTTTGATGAAGTGGAAATATTTTTAAGTAAGATGTTGATAGTTTATTTTTAATTTTATTTTAGTTCCTAATGAAAACAAAATTGAGAACTTAATTGTAATTCAGAGTAATAAAAATTAGTTTTTCTCCAGAAATAAGTTCTTTAAGCCACACATAATCTTTGAACATATATAAGTTCACTAAGCAATAGATAAGCTTGCTTCTATAAGAAACAAGCTTTGTAACAATATTTTTTTCACGATTTGTTGTAGGATAAAAATACTAAAGAATTTTTAAAATAATTATTACAATAAAAATAGGGTGGAGATTTGAATCTCCGAACTCAAGAGAATTATGTGCCTTTACCGTTAACCTGTTCATATCGACAATGTTAAACTCATATACTCCATAAGTTAAGTACTCATACTTATAAATTTTTAAAAACAAATTACAAATTTTAATACATAATATCTAGATAAAAATACATATTATAAGATAATTAGGTCACCCACCACTATCTTAAGTCTAATAATGAGGCCTCAAGGTAAAAGCCCAACTTGCATATATTAGGTGCTTTTATGTAAATAATTGATTGGGACACCAATGAAACCAAGTAGAATAATCTTTCCTAACAAATCAAATATCCCTTGGGCCAAAAATTTGAGAAGAAAAAACCAATATAGAAAAATGGTTTTTATTTTTTATAAGTATATAGAAAAATGGTTAAACATTCTTGCTTTAACCAATCAAATTTAAAAATATTACTGCTAAAGCAAGTATAGCTCAACGGTGATTGACATATTTTTTAAGTCCTCATATTTTACTATTTAAAAATTTTTGATTTTTTTGCTCTTATCCGTTTAGCATTAACCCATAACATTAATCAAAGTTGAGTAGAATCTAATATAGAAATTCATATATATTCACACAACTTCTAAGATTAACAAAGAAAATACTAAACCTTTAAAAAAATTGAAAATTGCTAGAAATGCTTACTTGATAAGGCGCTCAATAGATTGAAATGAGGGTCTCCCTTTGTGACTTTCTCGTTTAGTTAATGTTAACATAATATGACGATTTTAATCTATCTATTCCCGAGAAAAATTAACAAATTTATAGTCTAAGATAAACAAACTCGCATAATCTTTAACTCATTCACCGTCAGAAATAATATTTTTTTGAGGGGTTATGGTGTAGGTGAAGGTTGTTTGATGATGGGGAGCAATCAGAGCAACAATGCCCTCAGCAGTGACAAAACAGACATGGCATCCATGGTCAACAGCCAACCCATATCAACTTTCAAAATATAATACTAAAAACAAAAAGCATTCAATTTGCACTAAACAGTGTCACCTTTGAATGTGGCCACATTACATTATTTAATATCAATTATAATTTAATATGAAGTGACTTGACAACTTAGTCAAAAACAGGTACTAATCAAAATCTTCTGCTTCAGGCAATCCATGGCTGATACATGAAATGAAATAAGGAAACATGGGGCAAGCTACTGTACAAAGTTGATCTCCTTTCAGCATTTGGTCAAATTTGAACACTATGAGATCACATGGAAACCAAGATCCATCCCGCTTTAAGATTCAGGACCCTGTTCAAGTTTCTCATGCAAAATTTCCAAACCAAAAAAGTGATACTACAATGCTGAAATATCAATCAAATCCAAAAACTGAAATGCTACGATAAGATCTATATAAGTAAATCCTTGTGTTGTTTTTTTTCTAAAATGCAGTCCGAGATAAGCGTGATCGTGTATCCTAACACAAGTATCATATACTTTTCCAATATCTCACATGAAAGTATAGAAATTTTGAATGTAGAACTTGAGAGAAGCTTAAAAGAAACAAAAAACAGTCTACGAATCTGAGGAGATGAATATTCATACCTAGAAAGTAACAATCATGTCAAAACCATTCGTGAGTTTGGCAAAGAACCTAACCAGAAATAATTACTAGCTTTTGGACTTTGGCTGTGCCGTGTAAGAACAAAGCTCCCCCAACTTTTGACTCTCAGTATATGTTAACTACATCACATGACATCTTCATTCCACAATCACCTATCCACTCTTCTCCGGTTGTCTTTCTGAACTTTGCCAGGCGAATCGACCTCACCGGAGTAACGATGGGAGCATTCGAAATGTCCCGACTTCCGCTCCCTGTTTTCATCTTCTACTTCATCTCCATACCATTCTATGTAAGTTCACAAACTGTCAGCACTGACCATGCCATCTTGCTTAAGCTCAAAGAACAATGGGGGAATCCGCCATCTCTCTGGTTATGGAATTCCTCGTCCTCGCCCTGTGATTGGCCTGAGATCGTCTGTAGAGAAGGCGTGGTCACTGGAATCTCTCTCGGATGGAAAAATATCACTGGAGGAATCCCGGCTTCCATCTGTAACCTGAAAAACCTCACTGCTCTTGACCTTTCATGGAACTACATCCCTGGTGAGTTCCCGGAAGTTCTATACAACTGCTCCAATCTCAAATATCTTGATCTTTCAGGGAACTATTTTGTGGGTCCAATACCCCAAGGCATAGACCGAATTCAAACTCTGCAGTACATGGACCTTGGCGCCAACAACTTCTCAGGCGATATTCCAGCAACAATAGGCCGGTTGTCAGATTTGAGAACTTTGAACATTTGCAGAACTCAGTTAAATGGCACATTGCCAGTAGAAATTGGCAACTTGTCCAATCTTGAAACTTTGAAAATGGCGTACAACACTTTGCTGGTCCCATCGCCAATACCACAAGATTTCGGGAAACTGAAGAAGTTGAAGTACCTGTGGTTGACAAAATCGAATTTGATCAGCGAAATTCCAGAAAGCATACTGGATATTTTGAGCCTTGAGCACTTGGATTTATCCTGCAACAACTTGGTTGGCTCTATTCCTGCTGCGCTGTTCTCTTTGCAGAATTTAAGCAATTTATATCTCTACCAAAATCATTTATCCGGCGAGATACCCAGATCAATCCGAGCATCAAATTTACTTCATGTTGACCTCTCCACAAACAATTTAACTGGCACAATCCCGGAAGATTTTGGGAAGTTGAAAAGGCTGGAGGTCCTTAATTTGTTTGAGAATCATTTGTCTGGTGAGATTCCAGGGAGTTTAGGCCTAATTCCTACGCTGAAAGATCTTCGTGTTTTCAATAACAACTTAACTGGAGGCTTGCCACAAGAATTGGGTCTGCATTCAAATCTGAAAGCTCTCGAGGTCTCAAATAATACACTAAGTGGGCAGTTACCTGAACATCTCTGTAAAAATGGTGTCTTACAGGGAGTGGTTGCTTTTTCCAACCATCTTAGCGGCGAATTGCCGAAAGGGCTTGGAAGTTGCAGGACCCTACGCATAGTCCAGCTTTCTAATAACAATTTTTCTGGCGAAATACCTCTAGGTCTCTGGACTACTTTCAATCTATCAATCGTAATATTAGATGGAAACTCTTTCACAGGCAAGCTACCAGATAGCTTATCTTGGAATCTCACAAGACTGCAGATAAATAACAACAAATTTTGGGGTCAAATTCCTGATAACGTTTCTTCATGGCGAAACTTGGTTGTGTTTGAAGCAGGCAACAATCTGCTTTCTGGTAAAATTCCAGAGGAATTGACAAACCTTCCTCATCTTACCACACTCGTGTTGAATGGAAATCAACTCTCCGGCCGACTTCCATCGACAATTGTTTCATGGGAATCATTAAATACCCTAAATCTTTCAAGAAATGAACTTTCAGGCCATATTCCAGCAGCAATTGGTTCCCTTCCTAGCCTAATTTACCTGGATTTATCAGCTAATAACTTCTCAGGTGAAATCCCACCTGAAATTGGCCACTTAAAACTGGCTTCCCTCAACTTGTCTTCCAATCAGCTTTCAGGGAGAATCCCAGATGAGTACGAGAATCTAGCATACGGAAGGAGCTTCTTGAACAACACCAACTTATGTACCACCACCGATGTACTTAACCTCCCCACCTGTTACTCCAGACAAAGAGATTCAAAAGGACAGTCCTATAAATATCTTCCTCTCATTCTAGCTCTCATTGTCACCATGCTCGTAATTGCTTTACTATGGATCTTCTTCCTATATAGAGGTTATTACAGAAAGGATGAGAGATGCCACCCTGACACATGGAAGCTTACTTCATTCCAGAGACTGGACTTCACAGAAGCGAATATCTTATCAAATTTGACAGAAACTAATCTGATAGGAAGTGGTGGATCCGGCAAAGTGTACTGCATAGATATCAACTGTGCTGGTTATTATGTTGCTGTCAAAAGGATTTGGAGTAACAGGAAGTTAGATCAAAAGCTTGAGAAAGAATTTCAAGCAGAAGTTCAAATACTAGGCTCAATTCGGCATTCAAACATAGTGAAGTTGTTATGCTGCGTCTGGAATGAGAACTCAAAGCTCTTAGTCTACGAATACATGCAAAATCAGAGCCTAGATAAGTGGCTTCATAAAAGGAAGAGAAGGTTGAGGGCGGCTGCAATGGACTTTGTTGATCAATTTGTCTTAGACTGGCCGAGGAGGCTGCAGATTGCCATTGGAGCTGCACAAGGCCTCAGTTATATGCACCATGATTGCTCTCCACCAATCATTCATCGAGATGTGAAATCAAGTAACATCTTACTAGACCGTGAGTTCCAGGCAAGGATAGCAGATTTTGGACTGGCCAAGATGTTGGCCAGGCAGGGAGAGCCCCACACTCTGTCCGGAATAGCAGGATCTTTCGGTTACATAGCACCAGGTAAGTTCATTCCAGATTATCCTTGGAAAAAACAAGGTCTTTAAACATCAAAATCCTATAATAGCCCCAGGTTAATCAAACCAAGATTGTTGTGCAAAGAACATGGTCTTTAAACATATTAACTCATATAAATCCATATCACTTCTGGTTGTTTCATGTGTAGGCCTGCCTGCCACCCTAGCTTATTTCTTGCATTAGTAAACCACGTAGAACTAAATTGCCACTGGTTTGAAATTCTATCTTTCAGTTTGAAGCCACACTAGAGGGAATACCATCTCCATAATACTATTCAGTTTGACAAATTTGCTTCATCTCTTCTGCAGAGTATGCCTATAGAACGAAAGTCAATGAGAAGATTGATGTCTATAGCTTTGGGGTTGTACTCCTGGAACTCACTACAGGAAGAGAACCTAACTGTGGAGATGAGCACACAAGCCTAGCAGAGTGGGCATGGCAGCAATATAATGAAAGAAAGCCTATTATCGATGCTTTCGACGAGGAAATCACAAGCCCATGTTATTTGGAAGAGATGACTACTCTATTCAAACTTGGTCTAATTTGTACGAGCACATTACCTGAAATACGACCTTCTATGAAGGAGGTTCTGCACGTTCTACGCCAATGCAGCCCTTCAGAAGATTGTGATGGGAGAAAGATTGCAGGTGAGCTCAATGCTGTTCCCGTCCTTGGCACTCCTATATGACCTCAACAAGATCCTTTCTATCTATGGAAAATCAGTGCTAGCAAACATTCGAATTTGTAGCCATTTGTATACTCCACCAGAAGATATGGGGTCATAAAATAGCTGCCAATCCTACCCCCTTCTTCTACACCCTTCGTTGATGTTATGGGATAAAGAATTTTCTTTTCTTTTTTAATCAAGATATTATAGGATACAGAATTAGGAAAGAGAAATTTTAATGAAGGGAAGAAAAGAGTCTTGCAGTACTGGAATTATCAATTGCATCTTTCTCAAGTAACTTGCAGGTTAATGAATTAGACTTCAGAGCAATCTGTATCATGTAAAGGAAAGACAGGAAGAAATCTCATAAACTACAAAGAGTTTCATAAAGAACACTACACCGCAGATGTGAGATGTACAGACACCAGTAAATTTACATACCCAAAACATTTTTGAGACGCCTAACTAGAGTACAAGCAACCCCCCTCCTTTCTCTCTCTCTTCGCCTCCCCCCACCCCACCCTCAGAGGAAAAAAAAAATGGAAAAGGAAGAAAATAACTTTCTCCGCACAATTTGCAATTAAAAACTCCGAATGGTTAAACTGTAAGATTGATCTCAAAAGTGTAGAAAATATTCGTCCCAGAAACGACCTCATGAGCAGTTTCTTCACAAACAATCTCCCGCCTTTAAGAAATGGGAAGCTGTGACAGCAACACCAGGCATCTAACATATAATGCACCAGAATCTTCAAAGCATCGCATGCACTTATTTGTTCATGTTTTTTTTACAACAGCTCTCCCTCGGATTCCCATATTGAAGGGCAACAAACAGCATGTTGGAACTGAACCGTATGCCTTGCTACCAAGACATGTGACTCCTTCCCAGTTCCGCAGTGCATGCATGATCAACACCATTTATATCAATAATCAAAGCCAGTGATTGAGGTGATACTTACCAAATGCTGGCTAGCTCCCATCCTCCAACCCATCCGGCATCTAGTACTTCACCTCCAGAAGTCATGCCTTGTAGTATGGATTCAGTCTGTTCCAAGAGTGCTAAAGATCCAAACAAGCAACATAGAAGATGATTAAAATAAATATAATTATACAACTTAAGTACTAATGAACGAAGAACACATGCCCTATTTCCAGATTCAGCAAAACCCCTTTTAAATTGAAATTGCGTTGAGTCTTAAAACACATGCCTTCTAGCTGGATCCTCCGCAGACTTTTTTTTACCAGAATTCTGCAAAGATTCTGATTTAACTCCATTCTGGGACTGCATGATCACTGAGTTTGATCTCCGGCTAAAAATTCCAAAAAGAAAAAAAAAACAACAAACTTATCAGGCTAGAATTTTCACAAGAGAGGAAAAAAGAGGCAATGCAGGAAAAACTTGAGCAGAAATGGGTTCTTTAGCACAGTTACTGGAAACATAACACGTATAGTGGTGCAGGACCTGCCACCACATATGCACCAGTCAGAAGATTGCCTGTGCGAAAATTTGGTATTACAAAATGGTAATCAAAATGCAACAGGGAAATAGACCAATAATTATGGGTGGAAAGAGAGCAGAAAAGTGGTATGGATAAAAGATAAGGAACGAAACAACAAGAGAGCTTTTTGCAAAAAGAAGAAATATTTAAGGTACCAAACCAGAAACGGGTTTATATCTTCTATTCCTCTGAATGATATCAATTAAAATCTCAACCTCCCTCTCATCCTAGAGATTCCTTGGTGGAAGCACCGTAATCAGTCATAATAATGTTATATATATAAGCTAAATGAAAGTCAATTTAAAAAAAAAAGATTCAAACCTCTAACTCTTTAGATTGACCATTTTGAAACACTCTTGCAGTCACAACAGAACCATTTTCCAACGCCAAATCTGGATCCATCCTGCTATCATCGCCCTGCAAATACCCGACTCACTATCTCCAGAATGCCACTTCTCTTACCGCCATTGACTATGATTTGTAATCCAATGTAGTCAAACTCAGTCACTCACCTTGCAACTAAGGTTATGTGTATTGCAATTTGATTGAAACTCAACTTGGGTACTCTCTGCCCCGGTTGTCTGACCAAATGGATTTGCTGACTCAGAGTCAACCCCTACAACTTCCTTTGTCCAATGGAGTAAAGTCCTGATAGCTACTGTATGTGCACTTCCAGTCATATTTGATGCTACACCCTCAACTTTCTCCACGTTCATTCCAATTTGTAAAGAAGCTTCCTTGGTTTCAGAAAGACTGACTTCATATAGATCAGGCCCCTCCTTCCTTGAGGAAGATCCCTCCATTTCTTTAGCTAGCTCTACCTCATCCCTGGTAACAGCAGTCTCCTTAGTCAAAGTTGGAATCTGCATGCCATATCCAACAGCATCCATCCTGCCATCAAGCTGTTCAAAAGATGACCAAACCTCAGAATTATCATATGCATTTGCAGATTTCAAACACAGCAATTTTCCATCTGACCCACCACCATTAGTTTCACGCATAGGAGATTCTTGTGCTGGTTGACTACTGACAAGGGCTTGTTTCTTTTCTGTCTCTGTTTCTTCACTATCAATTTTCCTCTTTTTCCCTTTTTCAGTGATCCCAGACTGATCTTGTAGCATATCAGCACAAACTGCGTCAGCTTGCTGTCCTTCATGCCTGGATAGCTTTGCCCGTTTGTGCCCATCCGGGAAAACAAAGGACGGCAGTTGCTTCCTCCGTACATGAGAAACATAGATATCCATCCCTGGCTTCCAAAAGGTATACATGTTTATCTCTTGCCTGAACTCATCAACTGTTCCCCGTATGTCAAACTGCTGGCCTCCTTGGCCTCTTAATCCCTCTTTTCTCTGCAAGCCCATGAAAAAAGCACAGTGATAACACGGCTTGGATGTGTCAGAATACTCAATGGGATAGGGATGGCACTGCAGCATCCCCCTGGTGTCCCTCTCTATCTGCAGGAAGGAAAAATAGAATATATCAGATTGTTGAAAGACCCTCCAACTTCAGATAGATAATAAGGAAAGGCTAATAGACTTACCTTCAAGGTAAGCTGTCTAAAGCGAGATTCTACCCATCCCTTCCAGGCTAGCAGATCGTCAGCATCTGCTGCAATCATATCCACCTGTAGATAGTTTTTGTATGTCTCAAAAAATAAATATGGCTCAAATAGAGCACTCCACTGGGCTTTGCTCAACTCAATCTCCTGTAAGGCACTCAGACGTAAGAGAAAATACTATTCAGAGCAGGTTGTAATTCAAAAGAATTAGAATCCAAATAAAAATGACCTCACCTCGCAGATGTTATTACCATAGCAGAACTGTTCCATCATAACACGAAGAGTACTAGTTGAAACATTATAGCTAGAGTTCATGCAAGGGTAAGCAGGAGTTATTATTGGCATAAGATGAAATCGATCACGAGGATTTTTACGAGGATCCCAAACAGGAAATCCAAGTTCATTCTCTTCTATTGAACATAGCATTACAGGATTTGGCCAACGCCACTGGGTGTACACTCTGAAGAAACGAGAAACTAGCATGCTGGGAATTGCATTGGGGTAAAGCTGGCATACCTGAGCAACCAAAAGTGCCCAATTTACACCTCCAAGGAACCCAGTAACCTATACATGAAAGAAGAAGTAAAATTAAAATGCGAAAGAAATAAGAGAAGATAAGGGAGGAAATCCTTGACACAACTTACATTTGAATATACACCCCGTCTTTTGGCCCAAAACTTTAAACATCTAAGTGTTGTGCGAAAGTGCTACAATTATAGGTCATAATACAGAAAATTTTCAGCAAATAAGTTTCTGGACAAACAACTCAGGTTTTGGCAAGATATGTTTCACCTCTACATTTGGAACAAGTCTAAGAATTTGATCTGCAACTCTGCATCCATTAAGACTTCGAACAGTTTGTTCATCAACATTATACAGCACAGATCCATGAGAGATGTCCAGGTCCTAAAGGTAAGTTAATTGCAGAAAATTTATGGGAAATAGCAACAGTTAAAAAATAACAGAAGAAAAGGGGAAAACAATAGGAAAACAGTAAAAGAAAAAGAGAGAGAGCTGGACATGCACTACAAGAAATGATGATAACTGCGCTGGAGGATACATGAAAGCTGGTATAATTATAAATGGTTCAACTATAAATAGACTATATAAAAATTTCCATATGAATATAATGATAAGTACCATGCACGTAACAAAGTTCAGGAATTGGATTTTTAAACGGTAGGCAATGCTGCAGGAATTATTAGATATCCACCATTAAACCGAACATAAAAGTTGAGAGAGAAGTAACATATAACATACAATAGTTTGAAATCTCATATGATGAACACCGATAATGTAACAAGAAGAAACATAAAAACAACAAAAATAAATTCTGAAAACATAGAATAAAACCAATAAAACTTTAAACAAACTGCTGAAACTTACTTCTGGAACAACCAGCAGCGAAATGCTCGCATACAGAAGATCAATTGATATTCCCTGAAATTTGAATCTCATCACTGGAACATGTGCATCAGGAACTGGTTGAAGATCAGTAACCTCTTCCATTTCGGCCAAAATATTATGCAAGATGATGAAGAAATCCTCCATTGGAAACACACAAATTGTCAGATAAAGAATAAACTTCAATTTAAGCCCAAAATGAGAAGGCAAAAAAACTTGCTGGAAGAATCAGCGGTTTATATATAGTTGAAATTATTAGCATTCTACATGACTCACTTCTCTGTTCACGTAAGATGGTCCAACACACAAAGTGTCTATGTCACTTCCTGGTCCATGTACCTGTCATATAATTAATTTTATGCCACATCCTTGAATAAATATTTATAAGTCATATATTTGAACACAATGTACGGGTCAAAAAGGCAAGAATACAGGAAGAGATCGTTACTCTAAGCATACATCTAGCACCATTGCACGCTCCAACAAAAATTACAAAGATTTACATAAAGTAAAAAGTAAGTTACTTTTACGAAAAACTAAATCAAATATTATGCTTACCCCCAGACGATAAGACCCAAAAGTAAAAATTACAGCATTTGCATCCTCCACCATCTGCTCTGTGTATCCTCTTAGGAGGGTTAATTGCTTGACCCAATTTTTAACAATCTATAACAGAAGATAAATGGCTAAGGACAAGAAGTTCATGACATAAAAGGAAGTAAACCTCTCAATTAAACTTCGATTTCCTCACTGATTAGAAGAAACTGAGATTCTTTTGTTCAAGATGGGTATTGAGAATAAAAATAAAAGAATCTATAAGCGAACAAGGTTGGCACCTGGTCAATGCGGCCCAGAACCTCTTCTCTATTCGTAGCTTCTTCTTTACTCTCGTAAAGCCCCGAGTCAATCAAGAACTACCAATATGCAAAACATAGTCAAAATTGAGAGAAAATAAATTTGTTTAGTGGAGCTTCACACGGCAGAAAAACCGCCAAACTTTGTGAATTGAGATTTAACTAACAAGTAAAAGTAAATAACACCTTCTCCAATTCCGTGTTGCGTTGAATATCAGCATCCGTCGGCCCAGCAAGAGAGATCGGTTTCGTGACACCATTCTTCCTCGCCGGTTGTGGCGCCAGGAGAATACCAGTTGAACTGTCAGAACCTGCCATTTCCTTCAAAGCTAACAAGAATCCGACAAAGCACGCAACCCTGAATCCGACCAATAATTGGCAAAAAAAACCCGAGCAAATCTGACAAAACTCTCAAGCTAACTCAGCAAAGCACTTCTGATGCAGGTAGTCGAAATTCGGATCAAAATTTGAAATGAAGGGCTGAATTAGAAAACGCATAGAAGGAAGCAGGCTATGAAAAATCAGTCTGCGAAGAAAGACAAGGTTTGAAGAGTATCAAAACGAGAACAGATCGGAAACTTGATTCACGCCGGCAATTGGTTTACGGTTCGTAAACCGGTCAAACTCAGGGCTGCACGAAGAGAGAGGAAAGAGAGATGAAGGAGAGAGAGAGGGTTACGGCAGTGTTGGGCCCAATAAATATTTTCTCTCTTAATAGATAAAAAATAATTTTTTTTTTTTCATTTGAAGAAGTTATTTCTTTATTTATTTAGTTTCAATAAAGTTTTTTTTTTAATTTAGTTATTAAATTTTTAAAAGTTACAATTATATTAAAATACTCTTTACTCCCTTTTTTTAATAGTTAATTTTGGTCATTGTACTCTCTTAAAATGTTACTCTTTTGATATTTTTTATGAAATTTTAACATACATTTTATAAATAATGAAAAATTTTCCATTTAAACTATCATAGTTATATTTCAAAAATATATTTAGTATAATGTCGTGTTGAAATTATCAAAATTAAAAAATTAAAAGAGTTACTTTTTTTTAAGTATAGGTACTAAAATGAAAGTATACGGACAAAAATAAAAATAGATAAATCAATATAGTATTTTAACTTTAAAATTTCACCACCCACGTGTTACAATTATTTTCAATTAACTTTACAACCCCTTGTTAACAAAAAAAAATTAAGTTTATAAACTCTACTTTTACTTTATTTGTTGCGTTATTAAAGTATTTTCAAAATTTAAGTGTAATTTGGGAAATTAAAAGAAAACAAAATCCCTGTCAAGAACTTTTTATTCTCTTTCTTAAAATTTTAAAAACAAATAATAAAAAAATTATTATCTAACATTATTTAAATATTAAAAGAATAATGATACAAAATTTGAAAATGATTATTTTTATGCAATTGTCAATCTATAATATAACATTATTTTAAATATATTAGTTTTCTTTAACAACCAACAATTTTAAGTTAACTAATTTTTCTCAAACTTTAAGTATAGTTGGTTAAAGCATTTGTCCCCGATAAAAGATTGTGAATTCAAATCTTCACACTATATATTGTACTAAAAACACTAATTTTTTTAGTTTAATTAAGTAATGAGTTGGAAATTCAAACATATAACGTTTGAATTGGGATATATGCTTTAACAAACAATGCTCTACTAGCATATTTTTTACTCTGCGTTTTTAACCTCCGACTTCTAAAAAAAATAACAACATATCGACTGGGTTAAGCTTATGCTAACACTGAATTAATAAAGTATTTTTAAAATTTTTTGATAAATGAGAATTTAATTAAAGATAAGGTATAAGAGATAAAATTGAAATTTTTATTCAGACGCTAGAATATATATTTTCTTTTTTATTTTTAGGAAAAGAAAAAAAAAGGAGTAAATATATATTTACTCGCTTTTAAATTCTAATTAAAATATTCATACCGTCTAAACTTCGACACCGTGCACTACATATAACGCTGCTTCCAGCTTGTCTTCCACTTTCCAAATACGCCAATTTAATTTCCAATTTTTGCTTATTTTATTGTAAATAAATTATATACATTTTATTTTTATTTCATCAACAAGTGGAATAAATACGTGTTACATTCTCTCAATTTTCTACTATTTCAATGGGTTAAATTAATTTTAAAATTTAAAATTTGTGTTCCTTTTTTTTCCTCAGTATTTTTAAACAATAAAAGGACGACTTAATGGTGTAGTAACTTTTTTTTCCCTTCAGAATATGGTTTTAAGATTCAAGTTCTCAATATGCAACAAATTAAGAATAGGAGAACTTGAACTTTTGACCTCAAGAAAATGAGTAGTTACCGATTATCGTTGAACTATGTTGATTCTCATCGATTCATCGTATGCCATTACATTTTCATAACGAAAAATATTAGACCCCCTCAACCCCAGGAAGCTCAAATTCAAAATTGCAAAACTTAGGCATATTCATCTTATACTCGAACATATTCATAAAAATGCATCTCATCATTTTAATTCTCTTGAATGAACTTATAAAAATAGCTTCACCTTCCTTTTATTCAACGAGGGTGTGGCATATTTAGTTGAATTTTATGAGTCTACAATTGGAAAGATCTCAGAGTTAACTATCTGCCTTGCACACCAAGGATGCAAAAGAACTCCTTCCAACCTTCTTTGATATGATAGCATTAGCACTAAGCGATTTTCTCGAGTCTTTCTTTCTATAATTATTCTCCCCCTTTGCTAGATCTTCTATACATTTCACATCCAACAAGGATGTGAAGGTTCGTGACTTTCCTTGATAAAACTTGGACAACCCTTTTCTGCAAAAGAAGTAGAGATTAATTCTCTTTCTCAGCTAGTATTGAGAAAATTTGGAAGTTCTATATCGGTTTTAAGAGCTTACTTGGTTGGAAGTTGTTGACGAGGTTCGCTTTGAGATGGCAAAGATGAAGTTGAAGATAACGACGAAGACGAAGAAGAAGACGAAGAAAATGATGACAATGCATCGTCACAAAGGTTCAATGACGTTACCGATCCAAAAGAGCTAGTTGAATCTTCCGAACACGATAGACCGAGTTGAAAATGAGGGAGAGTGATCTTCTCTTCCCTTCTTTTCCAATGGTTACATAGAACACTTGTAGCAAAATCTGCATCAGCTGTCAAGTGTCCAAACTCCATGCCTTCCCCTGAAGATTAGAGATAAAGAGGCAGAGGGTGAGGGTGGACTTCTGTTCTTTCAATTCTCTCTGAGTTATAGCTTATAATTCAAATGAGACCATCTAAAGGAAAGTATTTATATCTGGAGAAGCAAATAGGTAACAAGGGTGGAAGAATAAACCAAATCAAATCAACAATAATTTGGTGAACTTTTTCTTTTTGAGAGGATAAAAAGTACCTAACTTTTATAGTCTATCCTATATCCTTTTTGAGTCATTCCACATTATCATACAACTTATATGATTTATAATACAAACTAATTATATCAATAAATACATTTCTACTTTATAAAACAACTCAAAAGTTTAGTCAATAATTACCTTTGATATGTACATATTGAATATAATAAAACAAAAACTTCCTTGTTTCCCAGCTGAGCATCTCTTGGAGTTGACAGTTGTTCCCAAGGATAAGTTTGGAGCCTACTATGCATTTAGATAATAAAGTATACACAACAACAAAAGTGCCATCAGTTGTCCTTGTGAGAATATGTTATCTAAGAAATAAAAACTTGGAAGTTTTAGTTAAAGCAGAAGCTGAATTGGAAGTTGTGATCATTGGAATTAAGTAACTTCCAAAGTATTGATATTTAGAATTTGGCTAAGTAGATTTTATAAATTCCACTCAGAGCAATTGGTTGGTGCCAAGCCACTTAAGATTGTTCATTGCTTATCTACTCTACTTCTTACATGGGGCATGGAAATTGATTCTTTTTTGTGCTTTCCAAAGAGAATATACTAAAGTTGAGATGCCTGTGATCCTCCCCTATATGGAATCAAAATGGCTTGTTGTTTTGTGTGCAAGTTTTTTAGGCAACATTAAATTCTTGTTCTTAGTTGAGATTTGCAGAATTTAGGGCTATGTCCATACCTTTGCATTATGACGAATAGGAACTCCACAAAGAATCCTGTCAAATTGCAATGAGTTCCAGGCTAACAATGTGCCACAATTTTGGTTAATAAAATAGTTACCATAGGAATTACTATAAGATAAAATTTACACTCATTGATTCATGAGACGTGTTTTATTTTGACAGAATTGTTCAATAATGAAAAAAAAAATAGAGTGACAGCTATACGATTCTCCTAAATCCAGTATAAAAATGTGGCACATTCATAAATACATAAAAAGAACAGAAATGGTAACATGTCTGAAATACCTGCCGACCAAACGAACAAAAATAAGGTATTTTTTTCCTCATCAGCACATCATTTAGCAGCAAGTTTCCTTCTAAGTTGGCTAACCTGAAACCTTCCATAGATTTGGCAGTGGTTAGGTTGGAGAAGATGTGGTCTTGCTCTTCTTATTCTTTCTGTTCCTGTGATATACTAGATTCAAATTTTCTCTGAATATCAGAGAGAGAGAGATTTGTATGAGTTCAGAAAGAACTTAGCTTCTAACTTTCAGTATTGTACGCAACAATACAACTATAAGCCTGCAGTGGTCAGATGAAAATTTTCAGCAGAACTACTTTAAAATACTGTATGCTTTCGCTCCCAGTTGCTTGTTAAAATTCTTTGGTTGTCTTCTTTCTAAGTCTACTACATAACAGTAGCCCAAAGTAACCTTTGGGGTGATTGTCACAACGTTAGACAATTGAATGTTATTTTTTCACATTCTGATTCTCATTCTTCTAAACCAAATAAAACAGCATAATACTTGATAATGAATGTATAATGTGATCCTAAAAGCCTAATATGGAGATAGGTGTCATGTTCACTGACCTAATATTGTGAACAAAGGAATGAAGTTGACCAGAGTTGGAACGTTCACACGAAAACTGAATGAATTGCACCTCTATTTATCTAAATCCGAACTAGGGGGCTCTGGTTCATGTCAAAAGGCCAAAGCAATCCTTTTGAAGCTGGCTTGGTAATCTTATACAGAAAATATGAGCTAACACCTACTGAAAGTAAATCACATCCATAGTAAGTGATATTGTACCTTAAACTCTCTGGCTGTTAATGAAAGTTCAGGATTAAGTTCAAATCCAGAAAATGCCATGGTATCAGCAATCATTGGTTAATAACTCCAATGACACCCAAATATATCAGGTTTTTATCCAGAAAATTTATGATCATCTTTAGCAACGAAGAAAAGATATATCTTGTTTAACCAGAAAGTTTGAGAATGATATTTCACACTGAGTAAATTATTTAAGAATAATGAACGGAAACACAGAGTAGAATGGCCAAAGAAAGCATACTAGCACTCCGAAGCAAAAGGAAGGGTTAACATCAATACTGGTAACCTCTGCGTGCATAAAAGGTAATAAAATCTGACATTTTATTGCATTTTTTTTTTGTTTTTACATCTACTCTGCCGAATGAAAGGAGAGTTGACAATGAGAAGAAAATGAAGAACAAGTGACGGACTAGATCTCAAACAGGCTCTCAGCATTTTGGAGCCATTTTTTCCATCATACAACATCAGAATTCAGAACAGACTGCAACATAACACACCCAAAATTACATTCATCATCCTTGGCGTCTCAAGGCATCCTGTAACTGAGAATTTCTTCTTGCACATTCTAAGATGGTTTTATCCGCAGTGATGAAGTATGCAGCAATAGATGCTGTTCACCATTAAAAGTAAAACGTTAATTCCTATAATAAGTAATTCCTTGTGACATTTTTTTAACTCCTTAGGCTATTCACAACCCTCTAAGCTGTAAATAACATATGCTGTGTTTGAAACAAATGATGACAATTGATTAATACAAGTTTTTATATAAACATTATACCTGCAGAAATGATGAGTGCCTGAGCAGTATAATTAAGGTTTGCTTTGGCCCAGGGAACCATTCGAACAGCAACCAACTGACAAAATAGGAGAAGAAGCAAATTGAACTTAAAAACTAAAATTTACACACACGCACACATATCTCACAAATGCAATGAGGATAAACTTAACTCTCCACTTGCCCCACTTCTCTTGGAAACTTAATACTTCGCCAATCATAAAAAGGTGGTTTTTTAAAATTTCTTCTATTTAAACTCAGGCAATATTTCAACCATTACAACAATTGTCTAGACTAACTGCAAAGATATATCACGTGGCAGGAGGGAATAATAGTGTGATTTTAATTCACATGATTCATGGTTCCTTGTTCAACTAAGAAATGGGGGAAAAGTGTTCTATAAAAGATCCAAAACATTTCCCAACAAACATTAAATCTGATGTTCAGAGAAGATCTCGTCAAACAACTAACCTTTCATCAACCCACCAACACCAAAATTTTATGCCATTAAGTTGCATCAATTTTCACCAAAATAATAGTGTTTTTCTTAATATATGTATCCATGAAAATTGACAAGTGCACTCTAGTAGTAACATGGAATGGGTCTATAAAGAATACCAAAAGCTACAAAGACATTGCTCAATCCAATGCAAATTAAATTGGAGGAAAGCTTTATGATTTATGCTACTAAGTATTACCCATGACCTGATGAATAACATCAGCAAAATCTTGCACACTAATTGTTAGTCCTTATGCCTCCTCTTAAGAATGTTCAACCTACTTATTGATGATCAAAGTTATGCTACTTTCAGACATCAAGCACAGTCAACATGAGCAAAAATCTTGCATGCTAATTGTTAGTCTTTATGCCTCTTAATAATGGTCAACCTACTTATAGACGATCGAATTTATGCTACTTTCAGCTACAATACAGCAAGCACGGGCAACATAAGCAAAAATCTTGCTTACTAATTGTTAGTCTGTATGCCTCTTAAGAATGGTCAACCTACTTATAGATGATCAAAGTTACGCTACTTTAAGCTACAATACAGCAAGCACGGGCATCAAATCAGATTGGAACCATGGCTTTTATGTCAGATTGAATACCGTAGGCACTGCACTGGCAACACATGCAATAGAAGCCGCCTTGAAGCCAGAACGAACACCTTCTGCAAATTATACAAAGGCTAACTGATGTAAGATACAAAACCTGATGCGATAAATACTCCACTTAAACATGTAAAAAGATCAAATCTGAAAAACACTGATCGCACTTGCATCTCCAGCTCCAAAGAAGAATGAAACTGAGACGAAGGGATCCTAGGAATAATTGCCCTCTAAATAGGTTAGGAATTCCAAAAGTAGTGTATTTTTCTAGTCACCCCCTCCCCGGAACAGTTTTCATCGTATTGAAACGACAGATTCTCAGGTTGAAGAATTTTCCTAATTCTTCCAACAGATTATCCAGTGACGATTTACGCCAGCAGCCAAAGTAGATGAAATCCTTTGCGCCAGTGTCGAGATTTCATTGTTCAAATACGAATTCCATGTTCTAATCAACCATAGGAAGCTTAAAGGATCGAATAAAACAAGTAAGGGATCGAGCGTAGTAAGAGACCTTGAGTGCAAAGCTTCGCGTTCAGCACTTTCCGTTCTTCAGCTGGCGACGGAATTATCAGAGCATTCCTTGTGTTCACCCACAAATCCCTCAATTCCGATGGAATTCCCATCGTCGTCGTCAGAGACCGATTCGCAAAATTCACAGGCGTTGAATATATCGATTATGTTCAAAGTTCATGAATCCATCTTAATTTATTTGCCATTAACCATCGAACCGAACTTTTTCTTTCATTCTTAATTGGAACCCGACCAATCAAAGTTTGCTTTGGCCTCCTGTCCCGATCTTGCACGCCGATTGTTTATTTTTTTCATCAAATTTTTAGGTCAAATTATAAGCTTTCCGCGGATTTTTTTTTAAATAATTATTTTTTTAAAAACAAATGACAAAAACAAATGAGAAATCTAAGGTAAGTTTCAAAGTCATTACAAAATTAGGGTATATAAATCGAATGGATAGGCTGCGATTTATGTCGAAATCACGGTCATTGACCGCGATTTCACTAAAGTCGCAGTCAATTGGCTGCGACTTCTGCGTGGCGCAAATGGAGCCACGTCTTTGCTGATGGACCATTTATTTTTTTAATTATTTTTTTATTTTGAATTTGGAAGTCAACGTCTGCCACTTCCCTTTGTTTTTTTGGTTAAATTTGGGAGGGGCAGCCCTTCCCCACCTCCTCTTTTATTTTTTTTATTTTTTATTTTTTATTTTTATTTTATCTTTTGAATTTAAAAATTATAGTCCTGCAACTCCCCACCAATATCCCTTTATTTTTCTTAATTTTATTTTAAAAGACTATAATTTAAGAAAAATACTATCATCTTAATTTTCTCCATATTTGGAAAGTAGTTCTTAATTACCTACCACATGATGGACATATTCCTATAATGTAATAATTTAAAATAAAATAATTGTAAAACAAACAAAACCCTAATTATACATATCCCAAAATTTGGTTTTTGTTTTAAAGCCATCTATTTCGCGATGCAAATGACAAAACATGTGAGTTTCATGTAATTTATACATTTACTTTTATGGTTTTATTAATTTAATAATTTTTTATCGATTTAATTTATATTAAATTTAAATGTTATTTTATAGAACATACGAAGATGAAATACAATAAGCTAAATGACATTTTAATCATCAAATTGGTTTTAATATAAGTTTAAACTTTTAGACTTTAAATGACATTTTAATCAAATTTAAAAATAAAAAAATAAAAAATAAAAAATTTAATCACATCTTAATTAAAATTCGCAATATTAATAAAATAACAATATATAAATAAAATAAAACAAAAAATAAATAAAAATGTGGAGTACGCGACTTCCAAAAAAAATAAAAATAAAAAGGTGAATGTAGGCGACTTCCAACTAATCACCTGCCATGTTTGCACGGAAATCGCAAGCATTGTACGCGAGTTTTAACTTTTATTTTAACCTAACCTATTTTTGTCAATAGTTTTGAAAACATAACTTACCTTTGAATTTATTTATTTAAATTACATTTATTTTATAGTTTTTTTAAACTAACATTATTTTTGTAATTTATTTTTAAAACTAGATTATTTTAAAACTTTGTCCAAATATGCCGCATAATTATTTTTGACTTCTACTCCAACTTTAATTTATCTTTTGTATTTTGAAGTACATCATACCAATGCTTGATTACTTAAGGTACAATTTTTCCATCAATCTAATTGTGTCGGTGAAATCTTAAAATATCAAATAAAGAAATGATAAGTCTCGAAAGATATATTTATTGTGTGATATGTGGTTGCACTCCGTCCAAGTACATTTGAACTTTGGATAAGACCAAGACTCTTGTTTTGATCTAAGAGTGAACGGATGACTACTTGAGAAGAGATTCGATGATACTTTATTCAATGAAAGAATTGTTGAATTTGTTATGAAGTGCAAATAAAATATCACATTAATTAATAACTTTGAAAGAGTAGATATCAATTATCGCATAACTATTTTCAGGTTGGCATCTTTTGTTGTAAAAATAAAAAATATATATATATATATTGTTTATAACTAACGTAATTGACATTTTTTTATTATATTTGTTGGGAAAGTTAAAATAGAATTTTTACTAATATATCGTTTAAATCCTGATTTATTAATCAAACTTTAAAGTATGACAAGGTTAAATTGATTATTTACTATTAAATGAATTCATATTTTAGTCCACATTTTTTTAAAGTAAAAATAAAAATAAAAATTATTTTATTAAAGTTATAGCAAATAACATAATTCGTTTAAAATAAAAACTATAAAACAGATTTTTTTTAATATTGTAATTATTACCCAACCATTAAGTTCTCCACCAAAGTAGGGTCTAATTAATACTCTAAAAAGATTTGAAATAAAATAAGGTTTAAAACGACAAAAGTTTAATTTCAATAGTTTAAATACATTATTATAGTTTATCGACTTTCCCTACCTAGCTACCTCACTCTAATCTTTAGTTTAATATTTATATGTTCAAATACACCATTTTAAAAAGTCCAATTATCAAAAGTATTTTATTCTTTTTCTTAGTTGAATAGGAACAAAATAATTGAAATTTTMAATCTTTAAATAAATAAGTAATAATATTTTGAAATATTATCAATCTATAGTTCATAAACTTTTTAAAAGAAATCTGAAAAATTTAATAGTGTCGTTATAATTAAAATTTAATTTCTACCTTTATAAAAAGATGCAGTATATAGCTTGTGACGACGTGTCGTAGCAGCAGGACTGAAGGGCATGCAAATTCGACACGAATCACTTCAACTTCAAACCAGCACACAGTAACTCAAATTTCTTGTCCAAATTCGAACAATAAATTCCGTCCATCTTTCTGAATCTAATTTCTGGAGAAGCGAAGAAATCGGATTGGCGATTCCTTCAAAATTTCAACTCAATCGAAAACCGCTGGCGTCGTCATGTCCGATCAATCGAAACGCGTGACCGGCCGGAGGATGTACGATTCCGGCACTCCGT